AAAGGATTGATCTAAACTCGGCTTTGGTTGTGTTGTATCCGAAAGATTCACTTACTGACTTAGAGTATGCCAATGACATAGTTCTATTTGGTAAAGACGCTGACAAAATGCAGAGTCTGATGACCACTCTAAGCAACAATGCAGGCATGTTCGGCATGCGATTTTCTGCCTCGAAATGCAAAATGTTGCTTCAGGATTGGGTTGCACCGCCACTCGAACTGGTGATAGAGAGTGAAGTAGTTGGGCGTGTCAACCACTTCACTTATCTCGGAAGTCTCATCAGCCCTTGTGGTCTGGTGTGTGATGAAATCTCAGCACGGATACAAAAGGCTCGACTAGCTTTTGCCAACTTGCGTCATTTGTGGCGTAGACGAGATATCCGTCTATCAACCAAAGGACGTGTTTACTGCGCAGCAGTCCGTTCCGTCCTACTTTATGGCAGTGAAACATGGCCAGTAAGAGTAGAGTATATTCGTAGGTTACTAGTATTTGACCATAGGTGTCTTCGAAACATCGCTCGTATATCCTGGGACCACCGAGTAAGTAATGCAATTGTTAGGAAACGGGTACTAGGTGAGGATGGCAAATCAATTGATGAAGTAGTGAAACTTAATCAGCTGAGATGGCTGGGACATGTGTTGCGCATGCCCGACCACCGACTGCCCCGACGTGCTATGTTTTATGGTGTAGGAGTAGGTTGGGGCGGCCAGACCAAAACGTGGCACAAATCCGTGAAGTCACTGACAAGTGGACTGAGTCATGTTGGTATGCATAGACTACCTGGTTGGGGTCTGCGAGACGATAGTAAGCGATGGTTAGAGATGTTGAATGACATGGCTGAAAATCGTTTGCAATGGCGCAGGTGCATCCACTCTGTGTGTTCTCTCAAACTCTAATCTTCTGAATTCTTCATGTTCTTTACCTTCTTTCCAAATCTATTCCTCTGGACTATACTCCTTAAATAACATCATCAAACCCTAATGTTCCCCATTACTACTTATACTTTCACTACCTCTACATTACGGATTTGAATCGATAACTGCATCTCTGTGCTAATGTAGTATGGCAACTTGAACTGATGTACGTGCATACGAAGTTCCACGTTGTTACTGACTTGGTGGTGTTGTATAAAAGGATGTATACTAAGGTTCATTGAAGCCTTAGTCATACGAAAATTCAAACCCCCTCTGTGCATTCAGAAACAGTTTATTCTCACCTTAAACCTACATTGGTAATATTTGCTTATTATTTAGAGTGATGAGGTTTCAAATTGCTTTCACATTATTATTATTATCCTTATCTCCCTATACCCCATTCCCAGTCTAGTTGACCGTTTATTTTTATATATAAATGCTCAGATTGTTCGAAATGTATTGCGCTAATATACCATCACATAGTTCTGATAATCTTCATCTTCTTATTACATTATCGAAATTTATCAAAGGGACTAATTGCTTTAAAAGCTTGTCTGAATCAGCATGAAAATGTTCAACAAATGAAATACTTATTCCCAGAATTTGTCAATAAATATAAATAAATATATTTACAATTAATCGTTTCAATTTACTTCCCTAATTTATTGTCTAGTTTTATCATTTAATATATTTGGTTGATTTATGGTTAACTTCATGTACAAAATCTCAAATCAGTCACTTTTATATTTTCTAATTCTTCCTTCTATTAATCGATAATGTACGAGTTATCCAATCAAATAAAATTTTAGCTAATCTCATTTTTATCATAGGCATCATAAAGCGAATGACATGTATGCTATTATCTTAATAATAATCCGAACTCAAACATTAAGTGTAATCAGACATTGTATGATTAAAAAATGCTGAAAAACAAATAAATAGCGCATTGTGGACCATGGAATTAGTTCTCTGTATTTCCAAACTATTCTGAATTAAACTAAAGTATTATTTCTTATTTCTAATATATGGCTCTCCAGAGAAAATTAACACGAGTATGCAAAAGATTAAGGTTCCATACATTTATAATCGAACAAATAATATTTTTAGACCTACACTTCTTTGAATAAAGTATCCTACGTACTAAACTCGCAACACTTTCAAAGCCCAGAAATTGTTAACGATATTGAGATAATAACAAAGTCTAGCTTCTATATCTTATTCGCCATTTTTAACATAAATTATTTATTCGTATATAACCTAGTTAATAGTAGGTAGAATTATATTTACTCTATCTCTTAAAATATATTTTAACTAATCAAGCCTTATTATCCATTCATAAATCCCACCATAAAGTAAGAATCAAATACTTGAATAATAACATACACAATCTAAGTCAAAGTACAATTTCTATAAAAACTAATTGAAAAGAATATGAACTATGACCAACCAATTCAACTATGATAAAGTTAAGAGATAAATGAAATGTTCAGTTTTTTGTTGATAAGTGTTATTCAATATTGTTGATGGTATGACAAACCATATTTTATATCCATTGCAATTTATGCTAAACATTACTACCATATAATGATTATTCAGTGTCAATAGTTGTTTTATTTTCGATATGATACTTTGTTCAGTATAATGTTGATTTATTTCATTGTAATTTTGATCTAAAATAATATTCATTTCATTATTTTAATAATGAAATACGTGAGTTTTTGGTAGTAGTTCGGTATATTTCCTTTTCTTTTTATGTCATAATTATAAGCTGATCATCGTGTCAGTAAAATCAATATTATAAGTGTACTTTCACCATTTTTGACTTATGTTTCAAGTCAAATAAATTCATATCACTAGTCTTTTAGTTTTGACTATGCGTCATCAGATTCGGAGATCTAGTATAAAACACAAGACAATTAAGTATTCTATGGATATAATTGATTTGAGTAACTGGTACCATTTTTCAAAAAATTTATACATCAACTAATAATTAGCTAATTTGTACTGAATGAATGTTATCGACCAAGTAGTTGTTAAAATTAAAGCTGATAGCATTAAACAGCGATTGTTTAGTATTTAACTGATTTTCTTTTTGTTAATTTTTATAAACTGAAATTTACTACTAACTTAATTGATAACTCTTACTAGGTATCATATATATTAAACAAAATACCATCTAAGATTATATGGGTCATTAAATAAGTTGTTTTTGGTCTCAAAAGGTTATTAAACATTATAATAATTGATTCCATCCTCATATGGAACAAGAAATAAGCGCATCTATTGAATACAAGTTACAATTTGAAAATAGCTTAAGAAAAACAACAAACTGATCAGAGCTGAAATTGAAATTGTCCAGAAATCCGAGATAACAGATAAAGAAAAAGTAAATAAATAATGAAATAGTCAAGTGATTTTGATTAGAAAGAAGCAATTAGACTTTTTAACAGATAACAAATGAATTAACCTACTTTTCTTCAATACATAGTAATGTTTATGCTTTCTGTTACGATCCGCTTGTATAATTGAATTACGTTATAGGAAAATAGAACAATAAATTATTTTTCTTTGTCAAACAAATTATAATGAACGAAATTGGATTATACAGTCACTGGAATCGATATTAAATTAACGTAAACTGCAGCAACTCTTTATTATCTACCAATATTCATATGTACATAGTTTACTACTTACTATACATATGGGTTCTATAGATCAGTTATGGTCAGAATAGCTCAGATGATGAAGTTGAGTAATAAAAGTTCGAATCACATGGGGCGCATTAGTCTACTCATGATTAAAGGTACATCTTGAAGACGGGTACCAACTAGCATGGAAATTAGTTCAACTATCTTCGACCACTTAACATCAGTATTTGTATGTCCACATACATATGCTCCTACTGACATTAAGTGTCTATGTACATATGGAAAACTAGTTTTTGCCAATAGATTGATAGACGAAACAGATAACCAGCTGTGAAAAATAGATAAATTGGTCATTATTTCTAAGAAAAAACATGTATACTACGTAAACATGATTAAACGCAGCTGTGAGAATTAAAAAAGTTGATGTTATGCTCTATGAAACTCAGTTATCACACGAAAAATTCAAGGCAGATAAAACTGTATATCCAAACAACACAATGTAACAAGTCTTTAAGCGGGGTTAAGGATGCATAACTAATGAAGGATTCAATGGAGATGGGGCAAACGTTATAGACATCCCTAGTAGTAATTCTAGTCATCCACTTAAATCTGACCAAATAATTTGCTTTTCAGTTTGATTAACTTAATAAAGACGTCTAGTGCTCAACGATAAATAGGCAACTAAAGCGAATGTTCTCAAAACTTCCTATACTGAGGTAATCATCCTGGTAATTTTGTACACATCGAATAATGCGTAAATAGAACATAATGATTATGACATAACCGAGTGATCAGTTACAAAACGTTCCGTGGATAGATTTTAATCTATTTTCATTATATTTCCTGAAGTAATATCTCAAATTTATACAACCATGATTACGGTCAACTATTACTTACCTAAACTAAACATCCAACTATAACAATAATTATAAGCGTATGACTAATTCATTCGTACTTATAAAGTTGTGAAACACTAATATTTGATATATTCTTTGGATTTATTGATGGGTTACTATAGAAGATTGAATAGTACGTAGATGGTAAATAAAACGTTTTTCAGTTACCTATGAATTAAAAATACTATTGAAAATAACCATCAATTGATAATCCACTTAAGGAACGATGATTTACAATAAGAAACACTAGATTTTTAGAGGACTGTATAATTTGGAAAACAGTTTTCATCACAAATGAACATCAACTGCAGAACCAGACTAGTTATCTGAAGCTGTTTTCGAGTCTCATATTACAGCCGTGATCTCAGTCAGCTTTATTTAAGGACTGCTAAAAGTAGGCCATTATATTGTGATACTTTGTATCATTTTATATATAACACAACCCGCTTAACTTCAACTCCTAAAAAAGAAGTCCAAAGCATAAGGCCGAAATTATCTTTATCTCCCTTCTTCTGACTACTCACCGTTACTATCAGAGACGGAGCAAAACCAATGTTTATTCATTCTGATTTTTACTGAATCATAAATATAGAATACAAAAATATATATGAGAAAAAGAGTAAAAATCATCATGTGTATGCATTAACTTGTATCGAATTTATAATGAAAATAAGATCAATTTTAAAGACTATGAAAGTAAAAATTATATGTACAGATAATTGTTCATAAAATAGTACAATTTCAAATAAACACAATCGTCTGGTGAGTAAAAGAAACAGGATTATCCATCACACTTGATGGACCAAAATTTGATATATCCATCATCAGAGGCTGTTGTCAAAATTAGTTGACCGTCTGATGTATCTTCACTATGACTTTTGTCATTCAAACCCCAAGGTTGCCAACGTACACAATTTACATCTTCTGAATGAGCATTCGGAACATAACCCCATAGAACAGGTGGTTCTTCTAAACACGGTTTCCCGCCAATATGAATCAAACCACTAGATGGCATTTTATAGATGCATAATTTGTTATCAGAACCACAACTGGCTAAGAGTTGACCATCTGGTGACCTGTCAAGCATTTGAGAGAAAAGCACTACATATATAAAGTGAGTAAAAATATCGTTAATAAACTAAAAAAAATCAAACACGGACGAAGTTATACAGGTATAAACTGAAAATCGTCAATGTTTAGAGTTTAATTTTATTTTGCATCCAAACGTCAGCTAAACGCTGATCGACCGTATCTACGTAAGCAAAGTTGAATTAATTTTAATGGTAACAAAATATTTGCTTCTCCTACAGAGATCGAACTACCAGTTTTTGACTATCTATCTTACTGACCCTTAGTTTGATGTGATGATATGCGTAGTAACCATCCAGTCACATCAGTAAAGATCAATTGGTGAAATTTTCAGAATTCATCTCTAACCACAATATACTTTCTCCTTATGAAATTCCAACTTAAATCTGCGCTAACACTGAGCATTGAATAAACATGATCAAGAGATAAGGGTTAAATCAAATAGAAACTTAAAGCCTTAATCATAATGCGAAATGGAAATGAGATATCTGTCAGGAGAAAATTCCCCATAATGCATTATCAAACAATTACTTCAGCCAATGGTGAACTTAGAAAACTCATAGTACAAGTGATGGAGACGAGTGTTAATACCCATAACTGAAAATGTAAACAGTCAGTGTAGGCAAAGGATAATTTTGTTTGACGGAAAGAATAAACCCCCAATACAATGAAGAGATTAATAGTTTCATACATTACAAGATATTTGATGTTCTCTACATACAGTAGGATTAACTCATTCACCAGGTACTTGGGTAAGAGCCAAACTCTAAATGAGTGAATGAAACTACCCAGTAGCCCAAACCAAATTAAGTAGAGCAGGCTTTGAACCTGTAACTTAGTGACTGAAAGTTCTCTATGTAATCACGACACAAAAGAGGCTTTCTGTGAAAATTAATCAAGCCACAAGTTGTAAGGCTATCAAACTGGTCGGAGGTATAAACCACATAGGCCATTGGTGTATGTGCCTTATTCACCTAACTATAGACACTGTCCGCATATCTTTGGTTAGATCTGTAACATACATATGCACAACAGCTGTGCACTGATTATTCAACTTGACATTAAAACTACCTAGATGTTGATGTCCTTTCACCTTGGATATTAGTCATATCAAAACGTTTGAGGAGTGTTGTGGATGATGTAACTGAATAGACTACCACAGAATACATTAATTTCATATGTAAGCGTGGTTTTGCCTTAAACCATAAGAAACGATTCAATATCAGTTGTGAAGTCTCAATAAACTATGCAAATAAATACATGTTTTGAAAAGTGAATATTCAGTGTGACACTGAAATCCTACCATGAAAACTTTAGTTTCGTTTAACACTAAATCCCATCACTGTAAAACAACTTACTAGCGTAAAGTGTATTGTATTTGCATCAAACACTCTGGAAATGAACTCTAAACTATACTGAAATTTGTCGAACGAATCTAAACCAAAAACACTTCATGTTTCAGTTATTAATTAGGCGATATAACTTGGTGTTACTAACTGAACCAAAGAATGTACGCGGTATAAGTCAAGTATCCATTACAAAGTCCTCTAATTATAGACATATAAGAGTAAAAATGTTATTTACCAGCTTAAATCGAAAATTGTACGTATGTGATAACCAGTTAATGTAGCAATACACACCCACGAAGTTGATTTCTTGCAAGCTCCTAAAAGGTAAATAATAATTACATTATTATCTGATAATGTAACACATGTACAACCAACCAAAAACAATTCATAGAAACTGTACCCACAAAGTTAGTCACATAGAGAAAACACATGTATGAAGATAGATAATGGATTCATATAATCGAAATAGCAGTAGTAGGTTTGAATAGCATAAACTGTAAAAACAAAATAACTAAACAATTTACTTATACTAACTTTGCAAGCTAATTTATATTACCATTTAAAAACCTCTAAAAATACATCTGTGACTAGAAATGAAAGTGTTGACGCACACACAAAAATGAGAAAATAAAGTTTACTCTTTTCACAATAACCTTTCTAATAGTCAGCTAATACACTCACAACAGTAGAATAATCTTTATTGTTTGATAAGTATTTTGAGAACTGTACATTTTGAAAACTTTCCCAACATAGAAATATACATTCAGAGTTGATGAAAATCACAATGACAATAAAATGACAACTTTTCTAAGCTAAATATTTTCCATAGAAAACCAATTTCCCACTAAAATACATTGCTGTAAAATTTTTGTAAAATTAAACAATCTTGGGAATATAAATTAAAACATGATTTATGATATTAACAGAAAGAAAAAAACAAGTAAAATGTTAGCATTGATAAGTTGAACAATGTTAGTATAACCATCGGTTACCAGATACAAATAAACTAACTGAATAAAAATGAAAGTAGATTTTACAAAACCTAAACATTTGTACTTGAGCAAGAATGTTATCTGTCAAGTAATTATTCGAACAGCCAATCAAACGAAACGGAAAGCCTGACACATGTGTGTATCGGTTCAAGCACAAACAACACAACAGCACAGAGATATAAACCATGGAGTATAAGAAGTATCAGTATTATTAATAATCGTAAAGCTTAAGTATTAACAAGTGTTCTGAGAGAACACGAGTTCGTAAATAATAAAAAAAACATTATTCAGTAAAATCTTTGCATTTAAGGGATCACAATGAATACAAGTGCATCATTGTGAACTATCCTCGGTCATGTCACCCAGATTGCCCGCAAATGCACCGGTAAGGCCGAGAGTGGGGTGGGTTCGCCCTCCCCTACCATGGGACTGGATCTCCTCACGATGCTCCACTGCCTTGTGGGTCAGACCTTTAGGTCGAAGGCTCCGGGTGTGGCTTACTAAGAAAACTACCTGCTTCAGTCTGGACACCCGAGCAGTATCACGGCCCACACAAATAAAATTTTGTGTGGCGCATATGTATTCGGTGCCACCTTGTATCAATATCTATGTTAAAATAAATGAATAAATCCTCCAGAGTCCCCAACCACTGATCAAGGCTATCATGTAGACTCCAATCATGTATTCTGCATCTACCAACATCACTGAAACCGACAGTTAATCACTTCTTGAACTGGTCCCATATCTTGATTGAATTGCTAATAGTTTTCTTCACATGTTTATTTTATTTATTTATTTGAACACATAAATATTGGTACAGGGGGCACCAAATATGTATGCGCCACACAAAACAATGAGAATTTAAGGAGAAGGGAAAAAAAGTAAGGAACGTAGGGAATTATAAAAAAAAAGAGAACAATAATGGTGGAGACGAAAATGTACACTCAGAAGAAATCTTACAGTTAAGGAAGATACAACCACTTTTTATGAAGAAAGTAAAAGAAGGTTACAGCAGGATCGCCACTGGCTTCTATTCTGAGCCATATCTGATAACGTCTCTAGCCACTGTGTTGCACCATCTCTCAGACCCCAGCCAGGGAGTCGTGAAGGAAGCTCTTTGCAGCTTTCGTTCATACCACGACACCATGTCATATACTGACCACCTCTCCGTCTTTTCCAACCAGTTCCAGCATTGGAAAAAAATGCACGACGTGGAATTCTCTGGGACGGCATTCGTAGAACATGTCCAAGCCACCGAAGTCGGTGTTTCAAGATGGTGACACCAATTTCATTATCGACTCTGTGCCCGAACACACGATGCCGAACCTCTGCATTACTAACATGGTATTGCCACTGGATGTCAGCAATCCTTCGGAGACAGCGATGATCGAACACAGAGAGTCGTCTAACATCCTCAGCTCAGAGAGACCAGGTTTCACAAGCATAGAGCGAAACTGATCTCACAGACGCGTTGTAGATCCGAACTTTGACAGCCAAACTAACATCACGAAGGCGCCAAAGATGGCCCAGATTGGCATAAGCCGCTCTGGCTTTCACTACACGTGCACTGATCTCATTACTCACACCACCACCAGCACTTATGCAGCTACCCAGATACACGAACTTCTCGACCACTTCTATCTGCCCACCATCCAGAGTGAGTACAGGATTAGAATCCTCCCAGTCTTGTAGAAGTACTTTGCACTTCGAAGGTGCAAAGCACATATCGTACCTACAGACATTGATTACCAACTGATTAAGTGCAGATTGCATGACTTAGGCATTATCGCACAATAAGACAATATCATCCGAATAGTCAAGGTCGAGAAGTCTTTCTTCAGGCAACAGATCCACACCACCAGAATGTCATCGATGGTAAAGTTGAAGAGGAATGGTGAGGATTGTGAAACTCTGTCTAACTCCACTGCTTGAATGGAACAATGGAGAAAGGTGGTTGTATGCTCTCACTCTGCCTGAGGTGTTTGTATATAGGGCTTTTAGGATGTTAAGAAACTTTTCAGGCACACCCTTCTTCAATAGACAATCCCAGAGAACAGACCTATCCAACGAATCGAAGGCAGAACTGATATGAGGAAATGCTACGATTGTTGGCCTTTGATAAGTATGACGGTGTTCTAACATTTGGCTGAGGGTGAAGATATGATCAATACATCCTCGAGCAGAAAGAAACCCAGCCTGCTCCTCGCGAGTCAATCCTTCTCGAGTTTTGAACAACCTACGAAGTATGACGGAAGCCAAAAGCTTGGACGCAATCGGAAGTACACTTATCCCCCGATAGTTGTTACAGGAACGACGTGAACCCTATTTAAAGATAGGGACAACTATCGACTCATTCCATGACGTTGGTACACTCTCTAGTTCCCAGACCTTTGCAAACAACGTCGTGAGTCCCTCAGTCAGAAAGTCACCACCATCTTTAAAAAGGCCCCCAAATGCCCTGGTACGGCCGAGAGTGGGGAGAGTCCGCTCTCCCTCTCGAAATGCTCTCACATGGCCATGCGTATATAGCCTCTGCCAGGGAAGTCCTACTCACTGCATTCACGTGGCGAGGGTGTTGTTTACGAAAATGAGAGGACGAAAAGCGAATGTCCGGTGCTTTAACCGGATCCCAAACCAATGGTGCACATGGGCTCCAGTATCCTGAAGGAACAAATGGCGTATGAACCAATCGTTGGTCACCGGCTACCATGGGACTGCATCTCGTTACGATGCTCCACTGCCTTGTGGGTCAGACGTTCAGGTCGAAGGCTCGGGGTGTGGCCCCCTAAGAAAACCACCTGCTTCGGTTTGGGCACCCGGGCAGTATCACAGCCCTCACACAAATCAATTGAGATTCGTGTGGCGCATATGTATTTGGTGCCTCCCCGTACCTATACTTATGTGTTAAAATAAATAAATAAATCTTTAAAAAGAGCCGGAGGTAAGTCGTCTGGGCCCGGTGATTTGTAACGTTTCAAGAGTTGGAGTTCCTTGCGGACTTCCGCCTCATTTGATGGATCAGTCGTCACCGGCCATGGAGGGCAGGACAGTCTGACCGATGTTGCCGGAGCAGCAGGCCAGTTGAACTGCCCTTCAAAGAATTCTGCCCATCGTCCAAGACGTCGATGGATGTTAGTGATTGGCGTTCCGTCATCCTCGCAGATTGTTTCGCTCACACCAGACTTCTTGCTGCCAGTGGCCCGGATGAGTTGGAAGAGCTTCCGGTAATTACCAGATGCAGCTGCTGCTTCCAGCTCATTAGCACGCTTCGACCACCAGGCTTTTCGGGCCTTACGCAAGCTTTGCCCAATTTCATTACGTAACATCCTTCGTCCGTGGTCAAACTCACGGTCACCCGGAGCAGACCGACGGGCTTCAATGAGTTGTAAGGAACCAGAAGGAACCCAGTGTTTATAAGCGGGACGTCTCGCAAACCCACAACAGACTTTACCTGCCATTTTCATGGCGTCATACAATTGTAACCAATGCTCATCTATACTTTTCGGTGGAATGGTAGCTAGCCTAGAACTAGCTCGGTTCGGTACTTACTAGCAACAGAAGTTGCAACCAGCTTGCTAACATCAATCCTTTGGTGGCGGTCATTTCGTTGTCCACTGAAAAGTAAGGTAAGATTGGCACAGACCAGGGCATGATCAGAGTCCAGATAGGTACTCCAAAAGGAGCGGCAGTCTTGTACACAACCAAGCCAGCGGTAACTGATCGTGATGTGATCAATCTGAGTCCAGGCTTGAGATGCAGAACGAGGACGCCAGGTGGCACATCGGCGATGACTGCGTCGAAAGTTAGTGCTAGTCAGAAACAGGTTGTGTTCTGCGCAAAGTGGCAATAGACGGTCCCCATTATCTGACCTGCGACCAAGTCCCCATCGGCCACCTAAACGACTATCTTCTGCGCCTAGACGCCCGACCTGAGCATTCAAGCCTCCGGCTAGTACTACAATATCTGTAGAACGCACTTTCTGAAGAACAGTTAACTGGTGGTAAAACTCATCTTTGATCGCATCCGGGCTGCAATCTGTCGGAGCATAGACGGAGATGACGAAAAGACATCGTTTCTCACGCCGATTTCTTCTCACTTTGATGATACTTTCTAATCTAACAGCACATAATCAACTGTTGGTGGAGATCCAATCAATTAGTTCTGCCTCAGCTCTAGCGCTTAGTGAGACACCAATGCCAGCAAGACCAGACGAAGATGCCACAGAGACCCCGGATAAACGCACATAAAACAAGCTTTTGGAAGTGACAGATGGACAGCGAATTTGTCGTACTTCACTAGAGTCTTGAATACGGGTCTCGGATAGA